ATAACTTCCGGTAACTGTGAAAATTTAAATTGATAAAAATTAGGAAAAAAATACTTAAAGCGTGTATTAACTGTGAACCTTTAGGTGGATTTTTAAAAATTTAAAAATACACACTGATTTGTCTTTTGTAACTATACAAAAAGAAAAATCAAATTTTGCCAAGCCTAGTTAAAACGTGTCATCTTTCAGACCTATACGGTGTAGTGTGAGAGCTCACAGTAGCTCTCCAAATATCTTAACATTTGTACGAAGCAGATCCAGGACCAGCCTTGGGACCAAAGGATCTTAGCATGGTGCAGAAATGAACCCATCTTAGCCTCCCAGACAGTGCCCAATCATTAAGAAAGGGTTTGATCTTTTTTTTTTTTTTGTCTTGTTATGTCAATGCCCCATTTCTCAAGGGTCAGAAATGAACCTATAAAAGGGCAACTTAATGTTGCCTATGCAACCAGTTTAAAAGTAGCTGTTTAAGATCCATTCTCCTTTCCTTAATTCCAGAGAGTCTCAATCTACTGAAGTTTTAGAATTCTTTTTTTAAGCCGCAGACATATGCCACCAGCACAATGATAATTAAAGTTGGAAAAAGACCCTAGAGATTTTCAACTACTGGATAGAGCAAAATGTGACATGCAATGTATTCCAATAATAAAATGTTGCTGTTCCAGAAGATTAATTTTTCTTGTCATTTCTAAAGCAACTAACTGTTGGTACAGAGCTCTGCTTCATTACTCTCACTTTCTGACACTTTTTTCAACCTACAAAAGTTTAGAGTGCTAAGGAAGTGACTGCTGAAGAGACAGAAAGTTGTCCACTGTTATTCTTCACCAGGAGGGAGAATGGACTTGAGGCTTTGGAACAAAGAAAAGCAAATTGTGTACAGAATACCGGATACATGTCACTTGGTAGCCTCACAGTGTTGCTGGGAAAATGAATAGGGGACATATGGTAAGTCTGAATCACTTTCATTCAAAGAAGGAGAAAAATCTGCAAAATGGAAATGGCTTAAATTCATAAGACGTCACTTAAGATATTATTATGGCCCCATCCTCTTTTGTAATTTCAATCAAAAGGAGAAGGGACTCTTCAACAGGCTTTACAATCAAGGAGGAAGGAATTAAATTTAGACAGTGGGTCAAATTCTATAGTGGAAGTGCACAAAGATGATGTAAATTCAGCCTACATATGCAAATAAGTCCGTTTTTAGACAAGATCACATATACTGGTTTAAAATATACAAAAACAGACCAGAATAAATGCCAGGCACAGTGGGTGGGCAGAAAAAAACCCAGTATTACTGACAGACTATATAACTTTCAGTACATCTATTTATCTCATTTCTTAAACCACATGGCTTTCACTAGGTACTCTTACTCATCTTTAGCCCAAACACCTTCTTGTCTGGAGGAGGGGCACTCAATTGGTCCTCACTCCTAGAGATCCAACCACAGTTAAACAATTTTATTTTGCATCTCTGCTATTTCCTCTTCAATTTTTCCAATGTTCCCTTTCTGAATAGAATCCCAAAGTATTCCAATATTAAATGTACTGAACTGGCAATTTCACACTCACAGGTGTGCCTGGGCGCCTGGTGTTTTAACCCAAAAAAGATCCTGAGTACCCCAGTGGTGATGGTGTTTAGCTGGGGAAAGCCCTATCCACCCCCTTGCTGCAGTCCCTTGCTAGCAATGAATGTAAAGTGGCAGTGCCTCCACCTGGCTGGCCTTGTACACACACTGGTGCCTTGAGAGCCTCCAGGAATATACTCATTCCAACATAAAGCTGGATCTAATTCCAGAACAACCACAAATCATATACATCTAATAGAATACTTTAAAATAAACCATCTTTACTTAACTACACAGGGATTAACAGATTAGCAAGAAATAGCATTAACAAAACACATAACAATAACTGAAACTTATATAGCTAGACAACAGTTACTCCACCCCAGAGTGTGCACACCCTTAGACTCAGTCCCAGACACTTGCTTGCGTTGGCGCACTGATGTTGCAGCTGTAGTGAGGATTTGGTCCAGGCTAAACAGCAACTCTGTCCCAGGCAGCACTCTTCCAGCAAGGCCCAAATTTACTGCCTCATGCTGTGCCTATAGGAAGCAGCCTGCTAACTCCCAGTTCCAACAGGCATGTAGTAGCTGCACTCCAACAGCCCCTGCACTGGGTCAATGTCCTTGGCAGCAGCCTGGCTCCCCCTTTGCTTCCAAACTGCAAGGCAGAGTCCCAGACTGCTAGGCCTCTTTCTTCAAGCACATGGAGAGAGCAGTCCTCTCTCCCCCCAGAGTCCTCCCTTCCTGTTTCTTTCCAAGGGCTCATGGGAATTGTAGTCTGGATTGTAGCACACGGGGTCTTTTAGAATAAAACAGAGGCCCCTTTAGTAAGGGAACTACATAAATAAATACTGAGAGGCACACTGAGAGGCACACATTCAACAGAAAACCCACATACACTACAGAAGGTAGTATATTTGAATTACCCTGCAAGAACAGAGTTCCGGCTATGTTCAACAGTAGCAATTACCACTACTACTTAACCACACTTTTTAAATATTTTACTTATTTTAATATTTAAATATTTTAGTTGATGAAGCAATACAATCTCTCATCGTAAGACAAATCCATATAATCAGCACTGTATCTCCACTGAGGAGGTAAAAAATAATCCATTTTCTCTTGCTTAGTATTGTTTTTTATTGCAGGTAGAAATGTCTCAGAACAAATGCAGAAGGTAGGTTGAAAGGATGCAGAAGGAAAGAAGAGTACTAAAGTAAACAGAATACTGGTATATCATTTTCCAATCTTCACACATTCTAACTTTAAATGGACGCAATAAACAATAAGAAATCACACACAGATGAGGTGAACCTGCCTTATGGGAAACTGGACTAAGCAATGATAAGTAATGTCAGGAAATGGAGAACATAGTACAGGCAGAGATCCAATCAAATAACCAGGGCTCAACAAAGTATTGAATTTACTCGCCCGTGGCGAGTAGATTTCAGCCGGGCGCCCTGTTCATTTGCGGCTCGCGCATGCGCAATGCGGGTCTTGCGCATGTGCAGTGCAGAGCTGGCAAGCGGCTTTCGCCGCCGTTCATCAAGCCCTGAAAATAACTATAACTATACTGCATAAAGAGTACAGTACCTCTACATCCCTGTAAATCCACAGATATCCGCTTAATATCTGTGGGTATCCACAGCTCATTTGTGAAGATATGGATGTGGGTCTGGATACAAATTTTGTATCTAGAACCCTACAAATTTGTGGATATCCGCTTTATATCCACAGATATCCATAACCACAGATGTCAATGTGGATATCTGCAGCTCACTTTTGCAGATACGAATGTGGATACAAATTTTGTATCTGTGCAGGGTTCAACTAAGCTCAAAGCCCCTCTCTTAGCTGTAGATGAGAAAAAGGAAATTATAAATGGCTGGGCTGGTCACACAGCTGGGAGAATGGCCCTCCTGAAAGACTGACCAGTTCTTGCTGGATAGGGAGACAGAGTCCTAAGTCCTGGGGGTCCTTGCTGACTTACAGTTTTATTGCACACTAAAATATATTTACAAAATTAGGATGTGCCAAAAAGGCAAATGTATACAAACAAAATCTAGAATTTTTAATATGAGAAGAATGAAATCTAACCCTGAACTTCTACAAAGTGACAGTGAGTAGATCTGACCATATAAGTCAGTCCTGTGGTTCTCAACCTTCGTCCACACTGGAATCCTCATTCTCATCTTGCTAGGACCTAGTCAGGATCTCTGTCCATTCATTAGCATAGAAAGTGCAATGTATGCATTGCCCCCAAGTTAAGAACCTCTGGGCCTGCGGTGTCCAACCAGTGATAATGAACTAGCCACACTCAACTGGCCAAATATCCATATGTGGCTAGTGGCCAGCATATTGGACACCACAGCTCTAGGCTATCATGTTAGAGACAGGGGAGACTAAAACCTGCAGCATCTGAAAATGTAATATAATTGAAACTGATTCCAGCTTATGGTAAAGCAAAGGGAAATCTTGTGCCTATTACTGTATGCAACACAGGACAAAGATATATCTCTAAGGAACTAATGTGTTCCCCAGAGATGAGGAAACAGAGGAACTGTCAGTGAGAAAGCAGTATAATCTTCTCTCATGGGAAACACTCAAGCTGACTCGCTGCTATTAATTGGCCTAATCTATTTTAAAGTAAATCAGAAGAAAATCTCTTCAGATCAGGCAAAAAATCAAATATCCAAATGTGAAAGTCAGGGGGGCTCCATTTCTCACTAGGAGATTAATGGAGATAGCAGATTCCCAATGACTGCAGTTTGGTTTAGGAGGAAGATTCAGAAGAAGAGCTTTCAGCTCAACCAGTCTATCAAAGTACAGACTGAACCTTTCTAGTCGAGCACTCTATGGCCCAGCAACATCCATGGCCTGGCATGATTTTAGTTATCCTCATGTCCACTTATCATGGGTGTGGCTAAGTTTCCATGATCCCATAAAGTTTGTTTACAGCACCAGTCTTGGTTCATAGTGTTCTGTGCAATTATTTAGCTTTAATTTACTCCTAAATGTCTTTTTTAAGAGACCAGTAAGAAGTGAAAGTATTGGAAATGCTGATAAACAACAATGACCTCCCATGGTCCGGAATTCTCTGGTTCAGCACCGGTCAGGTCCTGAAGGTGCCAGACTAGAGAGGTTCAATCTGTATAACACCAGGCAACTCAGAGCGGCTCTTCCTGTTCCCATGTACCTGAAGCCACTGGAACTGCAAAAGTCTGAAGTCTGGAAGAAATTTAGAAATATATTCCTTTCCTATACAATTTATTCTAAAATAGGTACGCATCATGTTATATGCTACTTGTTTTCTTTTATCTAACTTCAAGATAAACATAGAATGTTAAACAAGTGTCAAATACATGAATAAGTGGTCTACAGGGTTTCTAGAAGGAGGAAAAGGTATTTTTCTGGGATCAGAGTATTTCAAGCTTACCGTGCTACAACCAAAAACTGGTCAATCTGACGATCAGTAAGGAGACTATCTGGATTCCATACTTTTACTTCCAGCTTTGCCTGCTCTCTGTCATCTAATTCTCCTGTCAAAAAGGTAAATGGGATAAAACACATATTTACAATGTTGCTCTTCGTGAACATTTTACACCAAGCTTAAATAACATTCTCTATTTATATATAACAAGATATAATTAAATCAGCAGTTAACAATTTAAAATTTCATATTGCAATATCAAGTAAAGAAATGTCCAGCATAAAATAAGCATTAACCTTACTTAGAGAAAGTATCAACATTAATTTTTTTATTGTATCCTGTGTGTATGCATGTCTTGGTTCTGCACTCTTGTCCCCGCAGCTTGCCCACAACACAGTAGCCCCACTGGAGTCACTATCAGCCAGTTATCACGTGCAGAGGTGACCCCAATGTACTCTTAGTTCTGAATTTCCCCAGCTTTGCCAGCCCTGAAGTATCCAGCCCTCTTGTAGAATGGTCAGAGAAATAACAAAGATTGTTTGCTCCTCTAACTAAACAAAATGCACAGCTCATCACTTTAACCCAAATGCAGCATTAGCATGACTTAGATTTAAAGTAAAACAAATGTATCAAGAAAAGAAGGATTTTAAGTGAGTTCAAGTGAATAAGATAGAGTTAGAAACAATTAGAAGCAAATAAAATTGAAAAATGCTATGTAGAAGAGACTAAAACTTAACAAAACTACAGTCTTGATTGAAGAGAAGATTCTTACTGTAGAAACCGTACTAAAATAGTGCTTGTAGTTATGCTTGATTCAAATTAGTTTAACTGGGTAATTAATATAACTTTTTTGTGCTATCAACTTATTTATTAAATTGCAAGAATTATAGCTGGTTAACAGAACAAGAGTCATTGTTTTACGAGTGTAGACAAAGTAGTGGCTCTGAGTAAAAAGTGGGACTAGAAATAATAAAGGTTTGATAAAATAAGAGTAGTTAGCTTTGATCTGTAGTATTTTCTATTTTCAGGCATATTCAAAATAGAAAAATAATAACATTTAACTGCTGAAGTTGTTTGAGTTTAACATTAATTTGTTCTGTGATTGGGAAACAATTTAAAAAATACAATGGAACCATGGTTCCAACTCTGGCCAAGCTTTATTAAGTACAGGCAGTCCCCGAGTTACGCAGATCCGACTTATGTCGGATCCTCAGTTACGAACGGGGCTTTTCTCACCCCGGAGGACGGGAGCGGCGGGACGCCCAGATGCACCACGGTCCGCCGCCCCCGTCCTCCGGGGCGAGAAAAGCTGCTCCCCGTCTCCCTGGTCTGCAGGGAGACGGGGAGCAAAACCTTGGAGCACGCCCACAGCGGGACAGCCCAGGCGCGCCGTGGCTGTCCTACTGCGGGCGTGCTCCGAGGCTTTGCTCCCCATCTCCCTGGTCTGCTGGTCGGAAGACGGGGAGCAAAGCCGCAGAGCACGCCCGCAGGGGGACAGCTCAAGCGCGCCTGGGCTGTTCCACTGAGGGCGTGCTCCAAGGCTTTGCTCCCCGTCTCCCTGCAGACCAGGGAGACGGGGAGCAGCTTTTCTCGCCCCGGAGGACGGGGGCGGCGGACCGTGGTGCATCTGGGCGTCCCGCCGCTCCCGTCCTCCGGGGTGAGAAAAGCCCCGTTCGTAACTGAGGATCCGACATAAGTCGGATCTGCGTAACTCGGGGACTGCCTGTACTTAATAAAGCTTGGCCAGAGTTGGAACCATGGTTCCATTGTATTTTTTAAATTGTTTCCCAATCACAGAACAAATTAATGTTAAACTCAAACAACTTCAGCAGTTAAATGTTATTATTTTTCTATTTTGAATATGCCTGAAAATAGAAAATACTACAGATCAAAGCTAACTACTCTTATTTTATCAAACCTTTATTATTTCTAGTCCCACTTTTTACTCAGAGCCACTACTTTGTCTACACTCGTAAAACAATGACTCTTGTTCTGTTAACCAGCTATAATTCTTGCAATTTAATAAATAAGTTGATAGCACAAAAAAGTTATATTAATTACCCAGTTAAACTAATTTGAATCAAGCATAACTACAAGCACTATTTTAGTACGGTTTCTACAGTAAGAATCTTCTCTTCAATCAAGACTGTAGTTTTGTTAAGTTTTAGTCTCTTCTACATAGCATTTTTCAATTTTATTTGCTTCTAATTGTTTCTAACTCTATCTTATTCACTTGAACTCACTTAAAATCCTTCTTTTCTTGATACATTTGTTTTACTTTAAATCTAAGTCATGCTAATGCTGCATTTGGGTTAAAGTGATGAGCTGTGCATTTTGTTTAGTTAGAGGAGCAAACAATCTTTGTTATTTCTCTGACCATTCTACAAGAGGGCTGGATACTTCAGGGCTGGCAAAGCTGGGGAAATTCAGAACTAAGAGTACATTGGGGTCACCTCTGCACGTGATAACTGGCTGATAGTGACTCCAGTGGGGCTACTGTGTTGTGGGCAAGCTGCGGGGACAAGAGTGCAGAACCAAGACATGCATACACACAGGATACTCCATGTTAATCTGCTGTCTGGTGGCAACCACAGCAGCAGAGTATCTGAGACTCCCACGGTTACAAAGCAGGTGATGACAATACCTCACCTGTCTGGATTGCAACGTACAGCTATGCATAAGGCTGAAACAATGCCAGCACTTTCAAATATTTTTGAAAGTCAATGCCAGATACCCCAGAGGGAGAGAACAGAAACAGATAGTCATCTAGTGATCCTTCTCCTGTCATCCATTTCCAGCCTCTCACAAACAGAGGCCAAGGACACTACATCTACTCATCCTGGCTAGTAGCCATTTGTGATGAATAGGAGGGGTGCTGGCCAGCACCTGATGACTAAGGGGTTAAACACAGGTAACTAGCAAGGTTGCTGTCAGGGAGCCAGAAGAACCAATGGGGATACAGTGCTGAAATGTGAATTGTATAAGATACTTTGCCTGTTTTCTTTGTGTGGGAGAGTTAAGCCAGGAGCTGAGAGAGACAGGATGATTTAAACCCAGGCAGGATTACCATGCCTCCAAGGACTTCAGGGCATGGAATTGGACTGAACCCAGAAGGGATTGTGAGTCAATAAAGGGAAAAGTATATCTAGTTGCTATCAGGGTATTTTTCATTATTTTTGTGTTTTGGTTTGAACTGCTCTATGTGAATCCATGGCTCCCCTTCCCCATTTACCATCTAATGGTATGTCTACACTCTGCCACATCCAAGGAATGTGTTTGTTCTTCTGCTTTTTTTTGTGAAAGAGCAAACACGCTCTTTTGGGGATCTCTGTACATATCCCTCGTTCTACGAAGGATAAGAGCTCTGCTGAAAGAGGAGGCTTTTCCACCATTTGGCCATGTCTAGACTGGGCCAAATGGTGAAAAAGCCTCTTCCGGAAGAGCTACACAAATTGTGCTCCCAAAAACACCCTATAGTGTAGACCTAGCCTAAGAGTTGTTCCCAGAGATTTTCTCTGTGTTTTAATTTGTCTTACTTAGTTTCCCTGTAACACTCATCAATCAAGTATGCTTTATCAAATATATCTTCTGTTTTGTAATAAAAATCGCTTTTTTAAGGTGACTATTTGATTTGTGTGTCCGGGAAAGCACAGGAGATCTGCCTGTGTGTGTATATGCATGCTTAAGACTAAGAGGTCAGCTACCAGAGACTGCAGTTTTGTTTTTTTCTTCTTTAGTTTTTCAAGCTCTCTTGTGGTAAAAGCTTGGGGTACACCTGGGGATCCCCCCTATTTTTTAGGGTAAATCACTTGATGGTGGCAGCTACCCCCCTAAAGTCACTAAATCTGTGTCTCTGGGGAGTTTTTGTAAACAGAGCCTGTAGAGGCAAGGTATTTAAAGTCTTTGCGGGCCCCCTCCTTCTGCACTTGGAGCGCCAGAGTGGGGAACAACCCTGACATGAAACAGAGACCAAGGTCACCATCTCTAGCCATCCTGGCTAATACCCATTGACGGACTTAACCTCCACAAAAGTATCTAATTCTTTTTTGAACACTGTTAAAGACCTGGTCTTCACAAAAAGACCCAAAGAGATGGTACCCAAAGAGACACCTTTAAGGGAGGCTGACTTTCATAATATGAGAAGCACTCATCCTTTGAAAACCAGGATAACTTCAAGGTATCTCAGGTTGGGTACTCCTAAACCAAAGCAATCAAAATCACTGGTCACTTTGAAAATCTTGACCCCTGTAGTCAGCTGTATTAAGGAAGGAGCATTTTAGGATAACAGTTTTTGACATAGCATCTGGAAACCTGTCTATGCCACAGGCTTCCTGCATGACCATGGGAAAATTAATTCAGGGCCTGATCTGAAGCCCTTGAGGGAATGGGAGACCTAAGCCATGAATTTAGCAAGATACTTAAGCATATTCCTGCCTTTAAGAACTGAAATCTACTCATATGTTTAAAGTTCAGCACATAGCTAAATATTCCACTGAACTGGGCTCTTAGTTTCTCTGTGCATCAGCTTCTCATTCTTCCCTGTCTCACAGGGGAACTGAAAGGATAAAGTGCTCTGATACTATAACTATAAGTGCAAAAAAAAGTCAAAGGGAAATCTGATTTCATTAATCTGTTAACAAATACTTCCCTCTGATCAGAGATATCGAAGGAGTCAGGTAGCATACTGCTTTCAATTCATTCTAAATTTCCTCCTTAAAAGCAGTTTTAATCTAACACACAATACTCTACATATCAGGAAGTTAACTACTGTATATCTGTAGCCAGTTCATGACCTTTATTCTCATATATATAGTTGGACTGGTTGTCTGCAGGCTTGTTTTTAGATATTTATTTTCCCCAAAATATAAAGCAGCATCACTTGCCCATTTCACTGAGTCACCTGGCAAGAAATGAAGATTTTAAAAAGATCTCAGGTACTAAACTGCACTGTCTAGAATAAAGTCTTACCTTTCTGCTATGGTCTGATGAATAATTAATTTAATAATACAACTTCCAGTCTTACTTTAAAACAAGTGACTTGCCTATTTTCTCTCACTTTATAAAATTAACTATACAAGTCAGTGGTAATTAAAATATTACAGACAACTA